ATACACACACACACACACACACACACACACACACACACACACACAATTTATAGGCCGTCCATCTTTGCTTAAGATGAACTTTAAGTGACAGATTATTGATTTTACTGCCCAATCATTTTTTGTGAGATAGGCAAGTACCTTCCCTAAAAAAGAGAAAATTTAGAGATAGAACAAAAATTCTGACACACCATCAGATCCAACATATTTCTTAAGTTGGGTGGTGAACCACTGCCTCTTTAAAAGCCAGTGGGATTACCATTGCCTAGATCCAATCTCATGGTCTCCCAGAAAGTCTTGATCTACTAGGACAGGGGTCCTCAACCACCGGACCGGTACCGGTCCGTGGAGCACTCTCTACCGGGCCACAAAGAAAAAATATGGCGGCTTTCTTTGCCTTCGGTGAATGCTGCTGGGATCGGGGATCAAGGACACAAATGAGAGAAGGGGAGGGAGGAAGCAACCGAAGCCTGTCCTGCTCTCTAGCTCAGCGGCTTCGGTTTCCTCCCGCCTCGTTCCTCTCCCAGTCGCTCTCTCGCTGCTCCACCAGCCCAGGAAGAAACTGCTTCAAAGAAGCCAGGGGTGGTGGTGGCTTTTCCTGTCGCCGCAGCGCCTCCGAAGCGCCCGATCACCCCCACCCCGCCCTCCCGCGCGCGCTTCAATTCAGTGCCCCGTTCTGCCTGCCTGCCTGTGGTTGTTTGGGAGCAGCTTCGGCTGAGAATAATAACTATTCGCCTCTTTTTATCAGCCGAAGCTGCTCCGAAATGAAGAAGGCAGGCAGGCAGGCAGAACGGAGCACTGTGGATTGAAGCGCGCGCGGGCGGGCGGGGTGGGGGTAAACGGGCGCTTCGGAGGAGCTGCGGCGACAGGAAAAGCCACCACCACCCCGGCTTCTTTGAAGCAGTTTCTTCCTGGGCTGGTGGAGCAGCGAGAGAGCGACTGAGAGAGGAACGAGGCAGACACCTGAGGGAGGGAGGGAGACACCTGAGGGATGGGGCTGAGGGAGGCAGGGCCGAGGCGCTCCCTGAACTTGGTGGTTTGCTGGCAGACGTTTTATTACCCGACTAGGTAACAACATCAGATGTTACCTAGTCAGGTAATGAAACGTCTGCAAGCAAACCACCAAACTCGGACTTCCCCCCCCCCTCCCTCCCCCGTCCTTGAAAAAGTGTTTGTGCTTGAAACTGGTCCCTGGTACAAAAAAGGTTGGGGACCACTGTACTAGGAGAAATATAGGTATAATACAAAAGTAGGCACATACGCAGCTTCCAGGATTCTCCAATTCTTGAAGACCAAAAGATTTAAACAATTTTCAGAAAATTAAGCCAGATATGTCTCAGTTAACTCCATAGTATTTTGAGAGGATCCAAGCAGTTATATCCATAAGATAACCTTAAATAATAATTACATATGTTCCACTGTCCATTTTTATCTAGGAGGGAGTCAGATACCTTAATAGGGCTGCTGGCTTCCTATTTGCAGGTATAATAAGAACAGAAAAATAGTTTTGCCACTCCTATGAGCAACAGTAAATTACCTTTAACCATGCTTAGTAGCATTAGCTCCTTGTGGCTTCTAAGGGTCTCTTGCTATTTCATCTCCTGGCATTCCTCTATTCCAAGTATGGGTAAAACCTTAGTCAAACCAGACAACAGATTTCAGGAACATCCCAAATTCCCTCTGAAATTCATTGAAATCCATCATATGTCTGGAGTAGATCAGTCAAATTGATCTTTCCTTTCTGCAATGGGAATAATTGCAAATAATTCTAAGGCTGTTAAAAAGTGATCTGTCTATGACAAATGATTGATGATAATATCATCTACCTCCAGATGCCACTATTTTGAGTCAAATATCCAGATATGTTGTAACATGTGACTTTTGCTATGTAACTTGGCCCTTCAATATTCTGATCAGGGCTATGAATTCTTGAACTACATGCAACTCTTCATCCAGGGAAAACAGATTGAAGCCCCGCCAGTAGCATAAATCTGAAAAGTCCATTAGCAGTTTGGCCAAAACATCAAGCAGCTGAGACTGTGAAACCACGAGGGAGTGAGGTTGGTACAAAAGTAGCAATCCCATTTTAAACCTAAAGGCCACTTTTACTATCCAGCTTCCAACACCTATCCAGGTTTCAATGATACATTCCAGGCTATCCTTCTTACCTGTTCTTATCCTTCTTACCTGTTATTCAGCCCTGGATGAAACAAGCTTTAGAATAAGAATAAGAATAAGAATTAGAATTAGAATAGAATAGAATAGAATAGAATAGAATAGAATAAACAGTTGCAAGGGACCTTGGAGGTCTTCTAGTCCAACCCCCTGCTTAGGCAGGAAACCCTACACTACTTCAGACAAATTGTTATCCAACATCTTTTTAAAACTTCCAGTGTTGGAGCATTCACATCTTCTGGAGGCAAGTTGTTCCACTGATTAATTGCTCTAATTGTCAGGAAATTTCTCCTTAGTTCTAAGGCTGCTTCTCTCCTTTGATTAGTTTCTACCCATTGCTTCTTGTCCTGCCCTCAGGTGCTTTGGAGAATAGCTTGACTCCCTCTTCTTTGTGGCAGCCCCTGAGATATTGGAACACTGATATCATGTCTCCCCAAGTCCTTCTTTTCATTCAACTAGACATACCCAGTTCCTGCAACTGTTCTTCATATGTTTTTTTTTAAGCAAATTTTATTAATTTCAAAGACAAACAAATCATCATCAACCATTACATATTTGAACCTTTTTCTATTATAAATTTTACAAGTCAGATAAAACCTTATTTTATACAATACAATTCTATTTTAAGCCATTTCCATATGAGCATAAAAATACCTCTTATCCAATTTCTCTTTACTTCTCTTTACTCTTATTCAATTTCACTATTATTATTTCATCTATTTCTTTCTGACTTGATTACCATTATTCTCATTCTGTATTTCTACAAGGTTTTATTAATACTCTCAAAAACATAAACACACAACAAACAAACATATAAAAAATCTTTTAGGAAAGTAACTTGGCCCCAGGTACCTCTCTTTATATGGGCTTCAATTATATTCATGCTCATCTTACATATCATTACCTATTTTGTTTACCATTCTATATCTTCTATATAAACTTCTCCACACATTTCACTCTTCATAATTCTATCTTATTTAATCCATCTTAATTTAAATCATTATATTTGTATCTTTTGCCCATTCTTTATTATCCCTCTATCTCATTCCTTATAATAAAAAAAAAAAAAGAATTTCTCCTGAAATCACTAATCAGAGTATGATGCCTTTCTATCCTCCCCCTAAATTAATTAGATTAACATTTAAAATAACACCTAATACCCAATCTGATTCTGCTTGGTACATTCTATCTACTAATTTTTTTCTTTTAATAACAATAAAAACAGAGTAATAAATCCAAAATGATTAAATACATAGTTAAGTAATAAATCTAAATATTAAATCTTATAACATTCCCATTGCCTTTCCCTTTAATATTTTATTACATTTTAAAATAAATCATTATTAAACATTTCAACATTTTAATTTCTTATTAACTCTTAAGCCATTCTAATTTTCTATTTCTAATACAGATGTTACAATACCATCTTATGTACCTTGCAAAATCTTTTTTAAGGAAATTGTACTTTACCCTTTGTCCCTAAAAAAAATTCCTCTTTTCCCATCTAATTTCAAAACTTTGTGGCTTTTCTCCGCCTTTCCCCTTTCTTTCTTCCCCCACCAAATCTTCCTACCCCCCTTCTTCTAGCCTCTGCCTTGCTGGCATCCCTTCTCTGTTGTGTTCCCTTTTTCTTTTGTTTACTATCATTATATTTATTTTGCATCTTATTTTTCTCTTTCTTAAATGTTTTTTTAGATCTTAAGTCCTTCATTTTCCTCGCTTTCTTCCTTCTTTCTTAGTTAAATTTTGGAATTCATTAAAGATGGCGTCTTCGTCTTCTTCTTCTTCTTGTTCTTCTGCCTCCATCTGTTGTATTGTTTGTTGATATTTAACCAGCGCCATTTCTAAAAATAGGAAGGCTTTTTCCATACCATCTTTACCGGCTGCTTTTGTTTGCTCATATTCTTCCCTCAGTTCCTCAAAAGAAAAAGCCATTATAGATCTTTTCTTTTCTTTTTCCCCTCTTTCTTCTTACACCAACCAAGATATTTCAAAAAAAAGTAAAACAATCCCAAAATCCACAATCCTCAATCAATCCAAGCCAAGACAAAATTCTCCCTTTCTCTTCCAGGGGTAGTATCAGACAAAAGAAAAAAGAAAGTCCAAATCTGTATTTTGAAGCCTTATTGGAGTTATATTTCTGTCTTCAAATCCTTAAGGCATCTCCTCCAACAAAATCAAACCAGATGAATATATTTTTTGTCCTCTCCCTTCCGACTTATCCCATAAAGCTAGTTTTACCTGAAAAAAACAGGTTTCTCAATATCCACTTATTAATTCCGTCGGGAGGGAGAATAAACTTTCCTTTCAGCACCTCAAAATTGCCGCTTATTTTCTCTTGTGGAAAGAATCATCCAAAAAGCCATCATTTCCAGGAATTATATTAAATGTATCTTAGAGTCCTGGATCAACCAAGAAAACTTTCACTCTCAAAAGCTTTCTCCTCTTCCTCCTGCGCATACTTGCCCAGCTGCCGGCTTCTTTGTGGCGGCCATTGCGGACTGCCGCTGCACCGTCTTGGGAAAAGGGGGTTCTGCCGGCCGGGGAGGGGGTCTGCAACACCCCCAAACCCCTCTCCGGATCCCCCCTATCTTCAGCTACCCCTGCAGGGTAGCCTAGCTCCGGACCCGTCCGGATCGGAGCACCAAAAGCGGCTAGCGCGGCAGGGATCGCTCAGAGTCGCAAATCCCTGCCGCTCGCGAAGCCGACAAACCGGAAGTCCAACTGTTCTTCATATGTTTTATCCTCCAGTTCCCTAATCATCTTTGTTGCTCTTCTCTGCACTCTTTCTAGAGTCTCTCAACATCTTTTTTACATCATGGTGACCAAAATTGGATGCAGTATTCCAAGTGTGGCCTTACCAAGGCATTATAAAGTGGTATTAACACTTCACGTGATCTTGTTTCTATCTCTCTGTTTATGCAGCCCAGGATTGCATTGGCTCTTTTGGCAGCTGCTGCACACTGCTGGCTCATATTTAAATGGTTGTCCACTAGGACTCCGAGATTTCTCACAGTTATTACTATTGAGCAAGGCACCAAATACACGGTACCTGTGCATTTGATTTTTCTTGCCTAAATGTAGAAGCTTACTTTTTTCAACACTGAATTTCATTTTGTTAGATAGCACCCAATATTCAAGTCTCTCAAGGTCCATCTATATCTTAAGCTGATCTTCTGCAGTGTTGGCTATTCTTACCAGCTTGGTGTAATCTGCAAATTTGATGAGTTTCCCATCTATCCCGTTGTCCAAGTCATTGATGAAGATGTTGAAGAGTACTGGAGCCTTGGGGTACTCTACTGCATACTTCCCTCCATGTAGATGCAGTTCCATTGAGGACTACATGTTGAGTGTGGTTGGTCAGCCAGTTATGAGATCAGATTTATAGAGTTATCAGATTTATAGATTTATCAGATTTATTCCAAGCTGATCTATCTAGTGGCAGAAACTCATACCACTGAAGGTCTGCCCAAATTCTTTGACTGGGCAGAACCAGATTGGTATAAAAAATGAAGACTGCTTTCCATAAGAGTGACTTTCTGTGTCCCACCTTTCCCTTCCCCACCAATCAGCATTCACATCTCACATCCCATAACTCCAGTTGAGTAGTCTGGTTATCTTGTTAATGTCACTACAATCTACTACAAAAAAGATACTAGCAGATAAAGGATTTAAAAGCTTAAATTCCCTCTTTATCATTCTCACTTGTAATTAACAAATGGACTGGTGGCGACAGATTGTGTTCCTTCTATTTTTTTATAATAATATATTCTGTTTTTATAATTAATATATGACAGCCAGTTTATGCTACCTTCAGTTCATTCACATGATGAGAGTCAAACAATGTGCTTGCTAACTGCATACTCAAAATTGCATTAAGCTGAACAGGTAGCTGCTTTGTAGAATATGGTATGTCTACTTCTGTCTTTCTAATCAGTTTCCTCCAAATACATTGGACTGTATTTTCCTTAATGCTGTTAAGGTTTAAATTCATATTTTGAATCTTCTAAATTCATTGTTGTTAATTCATTGTCAGTTTAGAGATCAAAATGGTGTATCGTCCATCGGTTTAGACTGAAGATTCAACAATGGAGCATAAGTAGTCTTATGATAATTATGCACTCAAATGAAAACATTCCACTTGAAATATTGAAATCTTCACCCATAACATTCCCTGACATTAGGTAGCATGATTAGCTCCTGCCATATCTCTAATTGAATACTGAAGTTAAACAAATCTGAAGCACAAAAAACCACTTCTCACTAATACGAACTAAAGTTAGAGAAAGGCCAAATTCCCCAAAAGTTGGTCCTTGGCCAACCATATTCTTCTAACATTAAGATGATGCAAGTGATGGCCATCTGAATTTTATCATTGTGATCTCAATCTATGTTAAAAATTGGATGAAAGATCTAAGACTAAAAACCTTGAAAAAATTGTTTGCCAAAATGATTTTGTAGTTTATTATTTCTTAATAATAACATACTTGTATAATAAGGTACAGTAACTTTATAATCTTAAAGATGTTTTATTAAACTGTAACAATGTAGCATAATGATTAGAATATTGAAATAGAACTGGAAAAAACTCAAGGCTCGGTTATGAACTGTGAATGTAGATACTTTATAAGACTTATGGGGACTTGGAACAATATAAATACATTAAACTATTTGGAACAAGATGCAGGATTCAAATATAATACACATTTTTAACTATTCTTTTTTATAAACTATTTTTCCCTTTAGGAAACACCGAAGAAGCTTCAAGACTTCTTGGCAGCAAGACCGTCCGTGTGAATTGTTTAGATGAGGTAACATTTGGCAGAATTGCATTTTTGATCTGAAACTGATAGGTTTTATTTGGCTTAACAAAACCTAGGAAGAATTTCTACCACAAATTTAAGATCCAGAAAGTAGCAATCTCTGAACTGCATTTATGATTACTTTAAGATGAGTAATAGCATTAAGAAATACAAATGATAGTAAAGTACCGTATATGCCGGCGTATAAGACGACCCGGCGTATAAGACGACCCCCCAACATTTCCACTCAAAATATAGTTTGTTATATACTCGCCCCCTCTTCCGCACGCCTTCCACTTTTGCACTTTTTTTTTTTTTGAGGCACTTTTGTCTACCGTGGAAACGAATCCCATGAAGCCGAAAGGAGCAGCCAGCCTTCTCCCAGCTCCCAAGGAAACGAGGCTCGCACCGCCCGGGCTCCGCTGAAGTATCCGGCTGGGGCTGTCAGGAGTTGTTACCGCTGGCGCGGCTCCGCGCGGCTCCAGTCCCGCGTTGCCTCGGGAAGGGAAAGGCAAAAAGGAAGAGCCGCGGCTTTTGCCTTTCCCT